ATTGGGCATCAGGATCACAGGACTCTCCTGGATGGCTTGCTGCAGCTGCAGTGACAGAAAATTTTAACTTCCAAGGTTCTCTGTATAGTAAATAGTAGTAAATACTATAGTAAAGAAAATCTATCAGAATGGTTGTGTGACCTCTAAAGAGCTACTGTTGAAACAAACTGGCCAATAACTGATTAAAGTGTATTGATTTCTGATGAGTCCTGACCATGTTGAGTCCTTCCATGTTGACATAGATGCTTCTGAAGAGTCTCTTGAACACCTTATTGACAGTGTAGGCCATCAGCCTGATAAACCCCAGCTGCAGATTGTGAGACATTTCCTCCAAAATCCCACGAGCCTCTTGTCTCACCTTCTCCACGGATGACCCCGTCTCCAAGGCAATCTGAGAGGGAAAATGTAGGGGAGGAAAAACTGACTATTTTGACAACAAAACAATAAAAACTATATTTTTTTAAATAAATAAAATGACTGACCTCTTTGGCAATATAGCGCAGATACTGGGACTCCAGTACAGCTTTCTTGAGGTCAGAAGTGGAGCTGTATGGGGCTCCTTTGTACGGTTGAGGGTTAAAGGTTCTCAGGGCATAGCCAAGATCAGTTGTGCGTCTCCTCTCCTCCAATATATCCGTAAACTCCTCCTCATCCTTCAGGCTTGCAGTGCCTGAATCTTTATACTGAAGGAAGGAGTAAGGTTCATGTTAAAAGTCTCAAAGTTAAGATGTTGGAACATCTGTAACAGGATAGAAAACAACAACAACACTACTAATCTACCAACTCAGTAACGTGGGTACAGAGCAAGATTGTTTTGAATACGGATTTATTAGCACCACATTTTTTATACTGTACACATTCTGCTTTAATTCAAGGGGTCTAACAAATTTACTGCATTACCCATTTAGGAATTATATCCATTTGTATGCACAGCGTCCCATTTTCAGAGGTTATAAATTAATTGGACAGTTGACTGATAAGCAATTTCATGACAAGGTTAGGTTGTTCCCTTGTTATTTCGTAACACATAAAGCTAATAAAATATGTGGCATTGATTCCAACTGCTGAATTTGCATTTGTAGCTTTTCACTTGAATTTTTATTACAGAAGTTAAATGTAAACTGAAATAAATCTATCAGACACATAGTAAAAAACTCTACAATCTGGTTCATTTTGCAAAAATAATAAACTGCCAATCACAACAACTTCTGAAAGTTCGCGTGTATTTATATTAAACCAAGATTTCCTTGTACCAGAATGACGGTAAGACCAAAGCATGACTAAGAAGTTAAAAGCGCACATGATCCGTGGCGTACCACATCATCTGCCAAACATGGTGGCGGTAACATTATGGCATGGTATGGTATGGTATGGTATGGTATGGTATGGTATGGTATGGTTGCTAGTGAAGCTGGATCACTGGTGTTTCTTGATGATGTAAGTACTGATTGAAGAAGCCGGATGATCTGTTAAGTGTACAGGGCTACACTCTCGCCTTGGACTCAAGTCAAGTGCTGCAAAATTGATCGGACACTGCAAATGGATGATGACCTAAAGCATACAGTAAAAGCATCTCAAGCAAAAATAAATGGGATGTCCTTTAATAGTCAAACCAGCAGAGCAGCTTTTTAACTATTAAATTCAAACCTAAAGGCACTTAATGCAAAACTTTCTTAAAACCCTTGAATTAAAGCTGCAAGCTCACAGAAAACAGACAAAAACTACAGAAATAAATCCATTTAAAAAAATGCTATAATTCTTATAGAGCAGACTGTAGTTTTGTAAGACTCTTTATTTCTTTGGTAAATAAAATAAAATAAAAAAGAGGGGGCGGGGGTAAAAGATAATATATGTGGACAACAACTATTCACCACACTGTTATTTTGAACTGTTATTTTACATCCCTATAGTTATCCCGTTAATGTGTTAATTGTTTATTAACCTTTTATACAAGCACTAGTTTTGTTTATTTTAACCGTAAGGAAAAACTGACGTATTGTTACTTTGGAAAAGTGGTCTGAGACAAATTCAATTATTAAATCACAAAGTTTATCGAGTTAAAACCATAAAAGTCGTTATCTCCTCGCTGCTCTGTTCTGCAGGCTGCTGTGACCTGCCAACACTGGCTGGTGAAAAACTATTAAGCAACAGCGGCTTACATACAGTCGCTGTTTTTCTTAGTAGGCCAAAGTTTGAGCAGCTTAAGGCGGCCAGGCTCCACAGGACACCCCTGCCTGCATAATTAACAGCAAAAACAAGCCCTGCTTGAAGGCAGACGAAAGCGAACATCGCTACAGGTTTCCTTCAGGCGGTCTCCTTCTGGGTATTATATATTTTATAGTCGCCGCTAACTTTGAAAGGTTTAAAGAAAAGCGTCGACGGGCCCGAGAGAAGATAAAAACAGACGCGTTTAAAACTTGCTTCTTACCGTACTCGTCATTCTTTGCGGACACTAACACTGAAGCTGACTGGTGACTGGCCTCAATGACTGTCTTTCTTGTGCTTGGACGCTATCTTCGCTCCACACTGCGTGAAATATGCAGCACTTCGGGGCCCGGGGCCAATGGTGTGCCTGGGTTTTGGAAACTCCTCCCGCACATTGTAATACTCAACCCTCTGCTCCCAAGTAACCCCCCTCACCCCCCGCGCGCTGTTGAGTACGATAGCTAATGTTTTAAGTGATCTCGAGTTTGTCTGATGTGGAAAAAAATGTCTGAATATTTTTGGAGGAAACATAACCAAGAATTAAACATCAACTGAGCGTGCACTCCACAGGGACTGATTAAATTATCGTTGTTTTTTTTTGTCAGTTTTGCTGGTTTGGAGCATTCAGATGTGCTTAAGATTATTCACATTCACGACAGCTGTCAATCTTCCCAGAAGTGCACTTCCCATCAAATTCACCCTAAAAGGCAACACTCAGAGAAACTGCAAACCCCCCAAGAGTTCCAGGTGTACCGGCTTCAGTTACAATGTTAAATGTACTAGGCTTCTGGAACAATGTCCTTTTGGACAGATGAGAGCAAAGTGGAGATGGTAATGCACAGCCCCACATTTGTTGTGCGATATCTGTGCAAACTGGCAAGCACAGTGGTGGACGGGTCATGATTTGGGCACCTTGCAGTCTTTGAGTCAATCATGAACTCCTCTGTGTACCAAAGTCTTCTGAAGGCAAATGTTAGACCTTCTGTCCAACAGCTAAAGCTTGGTCAAAACTGAGTAACTCATTAGGACCATGATCCCAAGCCTTTCAGCAAATCTATCAGCATCCCCGTCAAAGTCAAGATAGTAAAATTGATATACTTTGGCAGGACCTTAAGAGAGATGTGCATAAGTAAATGCCCACAAACCTCAATGAAATGAAGCAACATTGTACAGTGGTGGCGTACAGAGTGGGGCAAAATTCTTCCACAGGGTTGTAAGAGACTGATAAAGTCATGCAGAAAACAATGACATAAAGTTATTGCTGCTAAAGGTGACCATACAAGCTAATAAATCACGTAGAACTACTAGTACTACTACTGAAGTCCTTTTGGTTGACCTTCGCCCTGGCCTCCACCCCTCCGTCCACTCAGTCTCGAGCTACAGACTCAAACATGCTTCACCAGTCAAGAGCAATTGGTATCAGTTTCTTCAGTGGTGAGCAGTCTCAAAATGAAGAGCAACCACAAAAATGAAGGTGAACATTTTTGTAAATCTTCATTTTATTTATGTATTTTTTTGTTGCCGAACAATGATCATCTCATGAGTTAGGCAAGCAGAGGAGTCTTTATTGTTTCTATTCACACATAAAGTGTTTACCCCAATGTCATTTATGAGTCCGACTGCACCAGTTTTACAAGCAACTGTTCAAAAGAGAGCAAAATGCAGATCACGTTCACAGCTAAGGCAAAAATAAAAACATTTTCACGCTACTTTAGCTCTTTCATTGAAAGAATAATAGCATTGTTAAAGCATTATGTACACACACACACACACACACACACCATCTCTTAGAAACTATACTACAGGCTGATAATACTCTGCCAATTTTATTTGTTAAGTGACTCAGTCCCTGTTTACATATTCATATGACCGCATTATATGATATAAAGACCCTTTTTTTCTTAAAATACTATGACCTCTCTTAGCTGCTAGCAGTAGCAGAAGTGTACGCTACATCTTACACAGTCTGCATCTTATAGAGTAACGTAGACTACATGAACTATAACAGAAAGGCGAAAAACTGCACCTCACAAACTGAAATCACATTCTCACCACAACACATGCAGACTCTGAATAGAAAAACAAATATTTCACCAATCCCTCTCGCAAATAAGGAAGACGATGCATTAAAGTGTTGTGCTTTTCTGTCCTGACACTCACTGGCTCGGTCGCCTCACATATGTGTTGCTACATAGTACAAATGCACGTGGAGAGCTGCACTTCCATGCTGATTGAAGGCTGTGTGTAAACTAAAGAGGACAAAAAATGGCATCGGTTAAATAAATATATAAATAAACGCAGAAATAACGCCAAATGTAGAATTCAACTGAAGATGCTGGTTTAACTATACTGTTTTAATTTAAGCCATGTATGTATGTGGAAATGTTTACACCACTTCTGGCCCTGCAGAGCAGATGATCACAGTAAGAAAATAAATTCCACGTTGACTATTTGGCACAAATTTAAGTAACCTGCTTTCTCGTTATGATAAACAGAGGCCATAATTCAGCTATAGTGTGTGTTAAAGAACTGTCTAGGCCATACATTGTAGTCTAGCTACTGATATATTGCCAACACTCCCTATAAAATAGTATCCATACTAAGCTGCCTGAATAAAATACTAATATTTTATTCCTCACTACACATACATACTTTTAGTCAGATGACCCCAAAGTCCATCTTTTAATAAAAGTGCGCTTATATCCATCTTGTACATTAAGACTATTCACAGCAGATTGCTTTACTCGTTTACTAGTTTTACTCTCCGCTGTCCACTTATAAAGTGCTCCATCTTCTGTTGAAAAAACAAAACAAAAACTCAACAATTATACACTCGCACACATCATTCTCCAACCCTCTGCTACATCTCAAGCACACCATCATTCAGTCCTTGCTCCAAAGGCCAGAGGTAGTCGGTCAGCTGCTGGAGCTGGCGGTCTGTTGAGGTGTAGTTTCCTGACTCTCCACCAGGGGGAACTGCTCCCTCCAGTAGGTGAAGTGGCTGTAGGTGTCCGAGCAGGGGAAGTCAGAGGAGGACGCTCGGGCCTTCAGCGGAAACACGTGGTCAACGACCTCGCACAAACGTACGTATCTGAAGAGAAGAGAGGAGAGCGAGATGATGCAGTGATGCTGTAAGGGCCATGAGAGCAATCCAGTGGGACCTGGGTGAAGGACTTACGATGAGATGTTGGTCTTGGCGTGCTCCTGCACCAGCTCCCCTTTGGGGTTCACTGTAAAAATCCTGTTTAGTGACACCCCAACTTCTTTGTACGAGTATACATCCTACAAAGACAAGAACAGGGGCATTTTTAATGTTAGATATACTGGATATTAGACTTAAACAGTGCAAAAAATACCTAAAAAGCTTCAATTTACCCTCAGTTAACATCCAAACTCACTTTTATGGTGAGAAATAGACTAAACTATAAGCAAATATAACTGTCTGTAAGCTCTGCAGAGCCGCATGTGAGTTACCGTCGGTCTGTTGCCGAATGCTGCGTAGAACGGCTGCTTGTTGGGGTAGAAGAGGTTCTTGATATCTGTGAGACACTCTACCTTGAACTTCTCCGGCTTCTTCTCTATCACCTCCCTGTGAAACACAATCAGCACTGCACGATGAGTTCCTCCTGCATCCTCTCATGTGCTAATATAGAAAAACAGATGCACGTTTGTGATATGAAATACCTGTGCAGAGCTGAAAAGAGGCTGCTCGGGCTCAAGAGGACGGGGCCCATAGGAAGCATAGTGCCTCTCTCGTTGACCCAGTTGAGGTAACCTCTAGTCATGTCAGCCATGCCGATCGCTCGGGCTGAGCAGTACAGGAACTTGTAGCCATTTCTGATGTGGAGAGGAAGAGATTAATATTAACCAAGTTGTGTCAATAGAGAGTTGAAATTACTAAATAATTTCTTTAACTTTGTAAAAGCATTTCTTTAAGAGCTTTATTTTATTTCTATAAAATCTCCTTTATGCTTTACTTTAAAACTGAGAGTAGACTGTTAACAAAGTAGTTCTTACTGGCTGACTTTGTGGTACAGCTGAGCAATCCCCTGGTGTGTCCAGTCTTTCCCGAGTGTGGGCAGGATATGACCTAATGTGTCTGACCTGGAGACAAATACAAGCAAGCGTTATTAAAAATGCATTTTTTTGCACTTGTGTAAAAATCTAATGATGTTTTATGTCACGGTCATCCAGATTTAAAACCCTTTGGAATACTTCTCATTGTTGGAATATATAAAAGCATCCTCTGTTTAGTCTGAGAGAGGATTTAAATGTTACAATAACTGGAAAAGTACCTGCTAGCTCTCTATTAAATGCTACCTTTGCAAGAAGCTGCATATTTAATCTTCTGATCAGAATGACAAATTGCCTCATAATCAGCAGTGAATAAATGTTACAGATGGAATAGTCGTGAAGGGTTTATTCATCACACTGAACCCTGCTGTGCACAGAGTTGTACAGCATGCAGATGAACCTAATACTGGAGCCACTTCCAGTAGATTTGCCGTCCAAACTAAACTCCATTGTGCATTAAAAAAAACAAAAACAAGACACACGCACCTGGTAATGGTTCCATCTATGTCGGAGATAATTATCTTGTCATCCCAGTTCCAGAGGTAGATGGTGCCTTGACAGCGACAGGTTCCCTGGTACTGAGTGGTGACGCTGAACACGACATCGTTAGGCCCGTCTTGCAACTGAAGAGACAGCTGGGAAATTTGGTGAAGGGGGTGAAAATCCATGGAAAACCACTCAGAAAGGAAGAGAATTGTGTTATAGCTGCACCATTTGGGCTTGTCAGGTGGATCTTTACTGCTGCCATCTTGCTCAAGCTGGTAACTCATTCTTTTATGCTTCTTTTTTAATGTTTGAGCTATCTCTCTATCATATCCAAACTTGTGCTTTAACTTGTGTGCTCACCAGCTGCTCGGATGTGAGTCGGAGAGTTTTCTTATAAGACACGCCTCCCGTTGTGAGTACCGGCTCTGTCTGTATGAGGGAAGAGTTCTGCTTGGCTTCCCGGTGGTCCTCATCACTAGAGGATGACTCTTCTTTCAGTCTGTCATCAGAGAGGTGAACAGGGCATTTATATGCTTCAATATAAACCTCAGTAAGTGAGCAAGGACAATTTTGAGCCAGGAATGCTCTCTTACCTGCTTGTCATATTCCCAACCTGCTCAGCAGTGCAACAGGCCCCACGCTCAGAGGCTGAATCCTATAGGTAACAAAAACAGTGCCAGGTTGGTGTTTATCTG